TGTAATCACTTGTAGAAATTGCATTAAAATCTGCCCAGCAATTTTGGTGTGATAAGGAAAAAATATTTAACTATTTTGACAAAAACTATAATTATTGTGGACTAGTCTAATTATTTGAGATTGAGAGACGAGAAGATTGAGATTTTTTTCCTTGATTTGATAGATTGATATGTTCTTTTTCTCTTATATAAAACTTTCTCTTATCACTTGATACTTACATAAGAACCGTACATTTTTCGGAATAAAAGTAGATCATTAAAAGTATTCTAGACTATAATCTATCTCTGAGCCAAATTTTATCCATATCCGTTCAGCCGTTCTGGCGTGATTGCGTAACAAACATCCACCCAAACATCTAAACTTTCACATTTATAATATTAGTAAAATTAGCGCCCTACAATAGAAACCTACGAAATATTATAATTTAATTTAATATAATAATTTTATTTTACCGACTAATCTCAATCGTGCCTTTTCTATCCTACGTGACATTGGGGCAGTAATCTGTGCTTAATTGGCACGTTCTGAAGCCATTAACAAGAAAATTGAATTGAATAGTTAAAATGCTCAGATTAAAAAATAAACTCGCAAAATCATTAAAAATCTGACTAAAGTTTCAAAAACTAATTACTTTGTAAATGAGTATCCAAAACACTTATCAATAAAGTTAAAATAAACTCAAATCAAATCTGTGGTGAGAAAAATACAGTACACTCGTCTACACAAAAGATTACCAACTGCCTTAGATTGCTGACGCTACAAATTACTCGGTAGTAAGAGAAAATCGCCAGGTACTCGCTTCTTAGCTAACTTTGCACTTCTTTATTACTTAAAAGATATATTGCTTCAATTAAATTAATTACTCTTATTATTAGAAACAGCAGTAGTAGCCCAGTAGAGCGCTCAATGGGAAAACTCAGTGAAGCGGGTTCAAATCCCAGGTCTCGCATCTCTATTTTCATATGCAAATCAATCCGAAATGATTACCGATCTGTTTTTGACATTTTTTTGATTATGAAAAAGGCACGTGAAGTTCGCTAACCCGTACTTGGCTAGTGTATTGGATTATATTAATTCCGCTCGTATTGGTCCGTGCCCAGCAGTGGCATGCTAAATAGGATTGAATACATACATATTACATATGTACATAGTACATACTCACAATTTAGAATCTAGGTATACAATATAATATGCACATATAATAATATAGATATTATAACAATGTTACACTAAGACGAGGCAGTGGTAGCCCAGTTGTATTGTAATTACTTGGGAAACAGAGTGAAGCGGGTTCAAATCACGGGTCTCATGCCTCTGATATTTTCATGTGCGAATCATTTCTAACATGATTACCACTTGCCTTACGATGAAGGAAAACATCGTGAGGAAACCTGCATGTCTGAGAGAACTTACCAAGTTTTTGAAAGATGTGAAGTTCGTCAACCCGCACTTGGTCAACGTGATGGACTATGGTCTGATCCTTGTCATATTCAACCCGTAAAAACCCATCAAAATATGTAGTTTAAAAATATTTGGGGTGATAAGATCTATTTGTTTACTGACAATGCCAATAATAATCTATCTATAGAATGCTATCTTTAGCAAATGCCCTAAGAAATGATATAGGTAGATATTTTCGGTGATTCCGTGCCTTCGATAAAAAGAAAGCTATTTAAATATTACTTTCGTAGCAAAAAACAAAAGTAGATAAGTCGTATATTTTATATGGTTATAATACAATAATAATTATATTTAATTTAGCCTTGTTTAACAGTATATATTTTTATTGTTAATACTTAGTTCTGTTCATATGCACGTGATGTTCACATCTTAGAAGACATCATTTGTCTGATTGTATACTTCAAAATAATTATAATTAAGCTTGTTTATTTCATTTGTATGTCGGTTTTGTGAACTTATAAATAAATAAATAAATAGATAAATAAATAAATAAATATCTACATATTATCTGAGGTTTTCCTTACTAGAGATAGAAATTCGAAACTAACTCCATATAAAATATTTCAAATTACCTATCGCAAGTAAGATATATTAAAGATTTAATCGAAAATACCTGGATGGATTTCCATAGAAGATTTTCAAGAAATAATTATTTTGCAACTATGTAAATAAACTTTGGACGTCAGCTTTAACCGTCTTTAATTGTCCCATCGATTTGAAACTTTGTATGTGGATTCCGAATGGTACAACCAGAGTTAGTGGAACTTATTAATAGCGACTACTAAAATAATTAAATTAAGACTCAATTTTGTTTAGTTTTAACGAGTTTCCATTTGCTTTTTAAGCTAAATAATATTCTCAATTTATATTGAACTTATTTGAATTTTTAACTATTAGAAGATATGATGTATATATTTATGTACAATATATATATTATACAAATATACAAACCTCTAGAATGGTCGGTTTTATGCAAACTTTTATCCGCTATTTTATCCCCCTAGGGGATGAATTTTGATAAATGCTAAAACACACGTATTTAATTAATTGTATTGAAGAGCATTTATACCAAGTTTCAAGTAATTCTGTTCATGAATATTTTTTTGAATTGTATTATAACGTGTTTTCTCGTGGAAAAGAGATAATTTCCCGCGGTAAAAGTAGCCTATGTCACTCTCCAGCATTCCAACTATTTCCATACAAAAAATCACACCAATCCGATTCGAGTCCGATAAACAAACACACTTTCACATTCATAATACTAGTATGGCTATATATAATTTATTATGGAAGTACTGTATGAAGAGCCATGGGCAAAATTAGTAGATGGTTTAATAAACATATAGCTTTGTTAGATTTTGTAGACAATATAGTTAATACTTCAAGTTCCAAACCATATTATCAGGAATACAAGGAGACAAACGTATTTGATGCCCTGAAGTCACTCAAACTCAGAACTATAATATTATGAAGATATTGTGAAACATTGCATAGTGATGTCGTAATTAAAATTAATAATATCGATATTTCTAAAATAGATTTTGTTTTAATTATATTAAGTGCTTCACGAAAGGGAATGCAAATAGAGAGCAAAATAAAGACTGCTGCAAAGAGAGTGTGACTTTTTTTGTAACAAAACACTCACTCTATTACATAATTAAAAAAGCATAAAGTATCGTGTTAACCACTTCAGTCAGAATCCCCACGTCACTCAGACAACTTGAGACCGCTATGAAGATATGACAGAACATTAGATGTACACAAAACAGATAGTGTTGTGTTGGCGCTAATATCGATATCAATATAATAATATGACAATGTTAGGATAGCTTTATAAATAACATATTAAAATTTTCATAATAATGTTTATTAAAATATTTTTTAATACTTTATTATTAATTTTTCACTTTATTTTTTAATAATTAATAATAATAATATTCGAAGAATTTCTTTATTAGTAGGAACATATTAAACTAGTGTTTGTTTTGAAAGAGAGGAAACAGAGTGAAAGAGAAAATGTGTTTCTATCTCTTAAACGGATGATAAAACGCGTGTCGCTTATTTTGAGCTCTATTATTGTTGCCTTGTATATTTTTAATATTGCTGTATATTACTTAAGTATTAACGTAGAATATGCCAGTGTGTGTTATTGATTGTGCCTTTTGTTAACTTTTAGAATGTAAATCTTGAAATATTTTAAGGTAACACTTATAAATATAAGTGTTACCTTATATATGGTTAAGTTATAGTCATAGTTGATAAAATGTGATATATGGTGTGGCTTAGTTTTATAATTTTTTTTGAGTTTTGTAAAATTGTATTTCATTAAAATTTGAAACATTGTAAATTTATTTATTAACAAAATTGTATTGGCATATACTATTTTATACATAGCGCAAAAAAAGTTTTAAGTTGATAAAATATTATTACAACCACATTAGAAGTAATGGTGTCATAAAACGTTTATTGGTACTTAAAACGATCTACAAATTACGAAACTTTTTTCCACGTTCTACATAAAATAGAAGCCGAAGTTCGTGCCGTAAAGTACATATCGACAATGTTTATTATATTATGGTAAAAGTATCTCTCATAAATACTTTTATCGCAAACATAAAAACTGACGTCGATCGCAGTTTACAGCATCTATCGAATCGATAAATCGATAGACTTACCTCGATAGTTCTCTGTGACATCACTATTTTATGTATGCTTGAACCGAACAAAGGGTCTTTATGGCCTTGTTTATCGCCGACCGCAAGCGTTTCAAGCGAAATGTTCGTTTAAGTCTCGTCCCTATGGTCCTTGAGATTTGCGTAAATTATATGACTATAATACATTCAATAAACTTTTTTACTATTGTAATAATTAATTAGTGATGTTTAAGAATTTGACTGCTAGTAGCTTTTATCTTTACAATATATTTCTTCACATATCCTCCAGGACCCATTTGATGTAAAACATAAAAAGGCTGTTTTATTTCACCGAATATCTGTATGGAAAAAATTATGGCGATGCGTTGATGTAAACAAGAAACAATCCAATAAATATATTTGAGTATTATGTTAGTATTATTTTATAGTGAGTAATGAAATAGATATTTTTTCTAGTTTTATAGTCAATTATATAAATTATTTTTCTATTGTGTCACATAATTACATAATTATTGTGTAAGAAAATTTTCATGCCACACAAAAGATAATCTATTTATTTTTATTGATTCCAATAGTTACGTATATAATAATAATATATTACGTGAATAATACAAATTATACTCAAAATCGATAATTTTACGTACTTGTTCTAAAAATGAAAATATGATTACTTCTAAAAGTTCAAATTTAAATATTATAATTTACTTTTGTCATTCTACAAAAAGGTCATTTTTCAACAGTAGCAGTGGCATTATGGGAAATAATAAAACGATGCACATTTTGATTCTTTAATCGATAATCATTACAATTCAATCGATAACGTCCTTCCCTAAAAAAACATTCTCATATAACATACACTTTACAAATCACAAAAAGTCAAAATCACACCCTCATTTCATCGATCGCGGCTTGGGGTAAAGTGGTTGAATGTATAGACTTGCCTCTTCTTAGAGTAGCATGAGGAAGTCTTGGTTCATCAAAATCGGTAGATCCATTTGGATTTCGCATATCTTGAGCATTACTGAAATGACTTAAATTCTTCGGTAACGTTCCATATTCAGGGTAAGTATTCGGTAGTCTAAAACTGCTATTCAATTTACTCGGCATATCGATACTTAGTGTGGGACTCGGTGTTTTAGGGCCTTTAAAATTCATATTTGCCAAATCGATTTTTTTCCGATTCTGTCTTTCTATATCCACAACTAAACTAGGCGCAATGTTTGGATCTATATGATAATGTGAGTGCTTTCCGGATATAGTTTCGAAGTGTTTCTCATTGAACCGCTGTTTGCTCCGGGATCTCGATTTATCTCTTTGGTAATAGACCCCGGCGAAGATTAATACATTTAAAATCAACAGGGAACACCCAATAGCAATCGTTACACTCAATGCCGTTGAATAAGCAGCATATCCTGCAGCTTCAAGATTAGCCAGAGTATTATCAGGTGTAGTATAATTCATATCTCTATTTGGGATAATTGTGACACAAGTCGCTAGTATAGTATCGACCGTAGTTAAAGCAGTGTCGTATGAGACATTTTTCCTTATCTGGTCATTTTCGGTCCTTGATAATGGATCAGGTCTTATAATACCCTCATATAAATCCTGTTCGTTGTAATTTTTGAACAAATTATGTCGAGCTGAAACGTCCTCCATACCAGTTCTGTGGAGTTCAGGTACCAAGCGTAGCCATACTGACAGCTGATGAGCTCGGAAATGGTTTTTCATTCGTGGCTTCATACCTGTTGAAATGAAGTTTAATTTTATAATAAAATAATTTTATATTTTATTTATCAATGATATTTTTTTTTAAATATTTATTCAAGCGAGTAAGTATTATTTTATATTTTACTGTATTTTTCTTTTGATAAATTTATTAATGAAGTAAAATATGAGAATAAATAAAAAAATCGATGTAATAAACAACATATTTTCGGTTTACATTTGACTGCTTAAAATAAATTTACATTTTAATAGCAAGGCTTTGGTCTGAAATAACTTTGCATAGAAATTAGTGGAGTTGTGGAAAAGTTGGACTGACTAAAATGTAATTTACATATGAAAGATATTTTTTGTTTCAATGTAATTAAGGGCTTATTCGTAAACTGAACGTTATAAGACATTTTAGCTGAATTCTTCTCTAAATATTAAATAAAAAAACACTCGCTCAGCACCTTCCGTCAAGTGTAATATCCCGAATACGTAAATTTACGTACACGTCTTACTCCCCTTTAAAGTAATTATTCTTATAGGTTGCTTTTTTTATAAAATTATATGAAACTTTCTCTTATACAATATGTACTAATAATAGTACTAAGTAACTCATTTTTGATTCTAGGTATCTTTAGGTTTTGGTAGGTAGGTTTGTATCTTGAAACATACACACAATAAACAAACACTTTAATTTTTAAGAATATCTTATTTTTCAGTCGGTTAGTGATTAATTTTTAGCATTTCATAAAATACTTTTAACCCAATCGGTACATCGTCTAGTGAGCTATCCCAGCTACTGAAAGCTTCATACATTAAATATGAGGAATATACGTGTTCGAATACCGCATCCGGAATTTTTATATAAAATTTGCTTTGAGAAAATATTTTACCCTCATAATACCTTCTAGTGAAGGCCCCAATTTCGTGATTTTTGCAATTTTCTTCGCAAGTAGGTACATATTTTTTATTAGAAACCTCATACAAAAAACAGAAAAGATGAAATATTTTGAAGCTTTCATTATTATATTAGTTAAATAACAGTCCAAATGAAAAACTTAATGCAACATAATATCAAAATGAATTAGTTATTTGAAAATTGACAATCTTTAAAAAACAAGCTTAAAATTTCTTTCTATCTATTTGACATCAATCATATTGTGTTTAAAATTTTCTTTCATGTTTTTTGTTTGTGTTAGCACTGATTCGAACCTTAAAAATGTTTTTCTTTAATTTATAGCCAGACGAAGGCTAGATTATCTAAGATACTTTAAATAATATACGGTTAGTTATAGATAAATAATATACGCGACTGGAGTCTCATGCAAATGCTAGTACTAATTTAATATTAAGAATAAATACATAATATTATTGAAAGTTAAATATTAGTATTATATACTGACCTATTTCAAGGTACTTTTGATGTGTGGAGTCATACTCTTCCCAATTAACGCCGCGGAACTTGTTCCTTTCCCTTGAAGCCGGTAGAAAAGCCTCTTGACGGGCGTTGTCGTTTGGATTCCTAGATATTAAAATCAATTTTTTTATATTCTGTATACAGTATTTTATGGAAATATATTTATTTTGCATATTTAATACGAGAATACAAATAAAACTAAACTGTCTTGGTGGTGTAGTGGCTAGCATATCGCTGCACAACCGGAAGTCCTGGGGTCGAGTCCCAGGTCTGAACAAGTTTAGTTATTGAGTCTTTGTTTAGTTAGCCTCATTAATAGCCCGGAGTTAGGAAGTTGGCCGTCGGTCCTGCGCCTCGACATGACCAGTGAGAGACTGTTCGTGCCGAGTAGTCGTCCCACCGGAGTTTGAGAGTGACAGGAATAGAGACAATATAATAGGTATAAGGGAAAGTTCTGTCGTTTTTGAACACATGCACATTTATGTGTTGTCGATCCTTACCAAGAATTCTGATCTGGCTGAAACCGGTTTAAGTAGCTAGATTAGTATATAATTGATAATTTATATACATTTTTTCGAATTTCAGTCAGTTTTTTTAAACTTGTACAACTGTCAACATGAGTGGAGAAAAAGTGCACTTAAGACATTGTATGTTATATGAGTTCCAAAAAGGAAATAACGCGATGAAGGCAAAAAAAACTTGTGTGACGTATTTGGAGAGGACGCAGTAACAGCTCGAACATGCCAAAGATAGTTTGCGAAATTTCGTTCTGGTGATTTTTCTTTGAAAGATGAACCCAGATCAGCAAGGCCTACAAATGTCAATGATGAAGTGCTATTGAATATTTTAATAATTTTTCTACTATACTATATTTTAATTTTTTGGAGCTGGATATTTTTTACAATAATATAAAGATGAAACTTTTATATAAAAAATAGAAAAAAATATTATTTAATATTTTCAATTGAAAAATAAAAAATAAACATATCGATATACTTTTATAATTATCTAGATCCAATTAATTTAAATACATCCTACATAAAAAAGTACCTCGTAATCTTATTATAGATAGGGAAAATAATTGAATCTAGAAAATAAAATCATATCAGGCCACTAAAACATAAAATCATAATCTAAGATAATAAGAAAAAGTTCTAACAATAAAAATTATGTCAGATAAAGCTTATTTACCCAGTTTTAGCGAAGTTCGACACAAACAGCATAATAGACTCTGATAAAGATATTTCTGACTTGGTGTAATTTTCTAAAAAATGGCCGAAACCTTCGACGAGTGGTGCCCCAAAAACATAAGGTAACTCTTCGCCATGGACTGCCCCCATTCTCTGTAATAAAATCTATCATTAGTGACATTTGTTCGTAATTATAAATCGATTATAATTCTTATAGTTTGATCATTTTTGAGGTTATATTCTCATAGTTTCGTAGGTATGTAAAACTTACTCAATAAATAGAATATAAAATGTTAAAAGGTTTCTTCAAATTAGACCCGTAGCTGCAGAGATTTGTAGGTATAGTAAAATAAACAAACCCTTTAGCTTTAAATATTAGTATAAAATTGATTATTATATGTACCGTAATGTTGGTTTTAGAGGCTTAGTATATATATAAAATATAAATAAAAATATCAAAGACAGAAAAGAATTCGACACCATTTTCTCCTCAACCGATTTTCTTTTTTTTTCGTAGTTATTTGACTAGCTTTAGTGTCATGGATAAAAAAAAATTGAAATAGTTTTTTTTTGTATATAGACAGGTAAAGACAAACATACTGTTTTGTATTGTAAGTATTAAAGTGTATAATCAATGAACATATGTAAAGCAGTAGAATAAAAATGATTTCCTCAAAATTTCCTTGTTAAAGGGAACTGTTATACATCAATAGACTACGCGAGAGAAGCCGTGGGCAAAACAGGTTAATAAATTTTATCTTTCTGTAATCTATCTCCATATAAACTTTAACAATGCTAAAGCTGAAAGCTCACACTCCCCCTTACGAGCAATATGCTTCAAAAGGGATACAAAGTTTTCTTTTCATATATTAGTATATACATAAGTAAAACAATTTGGGAATGATAATTTCCAAGATATATTAATAATACTACCGACTCACCCTCGCTCTGTTCGGATTCGTCCCTACTAACGTTTTAACGTTTACTATAGATTTCTCAGAGATGAGATATTATAATGTTGGCGCGGATACCCAGCTATCATCATACCAAATTTCATCAAAATCCCTTCAGTGGTTTTTCCGTGATGCGGTCACAGACAGAGACAAAAATTCAAAAAACTATAGATTTGGCCTTTGTATCGATAATAATGTGTGTTTCAATAAGATTTTCCGAAAAATATTTAATGTACAGATTCGGCTTAGTTACAATTTTATTATATGTATAGATTATATTACTAGAATAATTTGATGTAATTGGCATTCGTATTCACTTGGATATTATTTGGATTTCGGCCAAGTCTAGTATACATTAGCCTTAGATATATTAAATAACGCTAGCAAAAAGCGAATAACAGAATAAAGTCGCTTATTTACACAATAGTAACAAAATTAAATAAAGATGGTATAACATGAACACCTCTTATTGCAATACATTATTGGCTTTCAAATTCGTGTTCTTCCCTTTTAGTACACTGTGTATTTCTTCTGACCTCCACCGTGTACAGGATTGATTACTTTTAACTCATTTCCGTTTCTTATTATGCATTAGAAAAATGCACTTATTATGCAAATTTTGACAACACGTTTGGCTCAGTGTGTAATGTCCCTACTTGCTGTGCCAGCGGTCACTGGTTCGAGTCCCGCTGGGGTATTCATTTGTGTCATGAGCACCAGTGTTTGTTCTCTAGTCATGGGTGTTTTTATTTATAATATGTATGTATTTAAAACTATATATGTGTAGTGTATCAACTATTTGATATTCATAACACAAGCCTCGTAGCTTACCATGGAACTAGATTGTGATGTGTGTTAATGTCCCAACATACATATTTATTAAATATTTACAATTCAATGCAATATCCCTTATAAATATTCTAGCAATCTCCAATGACCTACAATTTTGATTACAACGCAGAGTCTTAGAAAGACTACTAGAGCCTCGGACCCATTTATACAATATAATGATGAGGCAAATAATAATATAAATATAGAGAATGTAGGTACTAACTCATTCTAAATATACTTGTGAAAAAAAAAAACCAAAAAAAAAACAGCCGAATTAAGAACCTTTTCGAAGTCAGTTAAGAATAATCTACAGTAAGAAACGCCTATGAATGCTTATATCAGACTCTTTTCAGATTATAGTATAGATAAAATAATTTGTATTCAGCCCTTTTGTAACGTCCCACTGCTGGGCACGGGTCGACCTTCAATACGAGGGGGATCAGGCCATAGTCCAACACGCTGGTCAAATGCAGGTTGGTGGACTTCATATGTCTTTCGAAAACGTGCTAGGTTCTCTCAGACATGCAGGTTTCCTCACGATTTTTTCCTTCACCGTAGGGTAAGTGGTAATCATGTTAGAAATAATTCGCACATGAAAATATCAGAGGTGCGAGACCCGGGATTTGAACCCGCTTTACTCGTTTCCCGAGCGAGCGCGTTACCACTAGGCTACCACTGCCTTAAATAATTTAATACACAGAAAATGTTACAAATCATTTATAATTTTACACACGTAGCTATAGCTAGATTACTAAACTGTTCAACAATCGAAAGCACGTATCGTCTGGTACGTTAAGCCCAAATGAGGACGTAATTATCTAATCACGATCCTATATACAAACGATATAATCACATAATATAAGGTGTTATCAGTACGTGTCTACTTATCGATCAAGAATTAATTTACTTATCTATCTATTCTACTATCAGTTTATTATTTTGGACCCATGAGGGCTAATGCGCTTGAATTTGCCGCGAGGGGCGCTGGTGTAGAGTGAGGTCTCTAGAACTGTCAAATGACACTGAATGTTAACTGTTTGCGAGCTTTTCATCGCGGATTTTCACTTATTATTCATGATTGTTATAAACATTACACTATTCCTGATTAATTATGGCAGACAAATGTTTTTGATTTAAAAAAAGAACTAAGAAAAAGTCAATATTTTATCTATTTGGTTAATTATGTAAAACAAAGGCCCGATAAACTGGTACCGCCCAAACAAATATATTAGTATTTTTTTTATTTATATCTCGCTGCTTTGCTGCTGCATTAATAAATACTTTTTAATGACAGCGATAGGATCTTACTCGCCAGTGGCGCCAACTGGTGGCGAAAACTGGTGTCACCAGAAATGATAGCCCTACATATACTGAAAAGCTCATATGACGGTATGGAAGATTTTTAGTTCAAGCTAACATAGTGCAAACATGTTTCTTTTTAATAGAAAGATTTTTCAAAGAGTTAGATTTTAACACATAATATATAAGTACATAATGGTACAACTTGTTAGTTTTGCTTTTAATATGTATAATATATATAAATAATTTATCAATTTCAGTGAATATGGAATTATAGTGTTAAAAGAATTTTAAAGAAAACTAAATTTTTTACGACGTTTTTACGGATACAGGATTAACTCAACAGGACACATTTTATCCCGGCAAATTAAAGGTTTTCCGAGGGATAGGTGATAAAGGTTTTATGGTTTTTCCATACTGGAAGTCTCTACGAGAACTCTTAACGAGAACCTAGATTATAGAGGATCGTTAATTTATTAAATAAAACTATCTTTTTGGATTATTTCGCGGATTTATTTTGATTTTTGGTTCCCGACGTTTCGAATGCTTTACAGCATCCATGGTCACGGGAGAGACTGAGGTGTTTCATGTCTTAAAGGTATAGTTGTTACATACAGCCTACCCACAATTAACAAAATGAAACAAAATGAAATAATTGGTGCAATTTTCATTTTGTTGAAACGTCGGGAACCAAAAATAAAAATAAATCCGCGAAATAATCCGAAAAGATAGTTTTATTTAATAATGTCAAACATTCGCGTAAATCTAAGAAAGTATTATGATCGTTAATATATTATTCAATAGTATCACACTTACCTGTGGATAAAAACCATCCTTAGTTTGGTAATCGAAAACGTAAAAGAACGTCTTGGTCTGTCTCGATGGCTGATCTTCATCGTTCACAACTTTCGATCCACTCAGCAAGTCTCCACTTTGCATGAGAGGAGCAACGTATTGTGCATCAGATAGCGCTGACACTGTTGCATCTCTAGTGTTTATTGGATTCTGAAAACATGTACTTTTAATTAAATATGATATAGTGTAGCAGACTAGTTTTTGTTCGCTATTCCGCTTGTGTGGGTGTACATAAGTCGATAAAACTATCTTAATATATCGCAGACACAGCCACTCACTCAGTCATTGCATGCATTCAGCCCTGTTTTTAACATCCAAATGCTGGGCATGGGCCTCCCTTCAATCCACCACGCTGGCCAAGTACAGGTTGGCGGAATTCACATGTCTTTCGAAAATTTGCTACGTTTAAGTTTCGTCACGATGTTTTCCTTCACCGGAAGACAAGTGATAATCATGTTGGAAATGATTTGCACATGAAAATATCAGAGATGCGAGACTCGGGATTTGAACCCGCTTCACTCGGTTTCCCAAATGAGCGAAACTCATTAAGAATATTAAAAATTCTTTCTAATTCAAAAGTGAATCTGAGCAGATGTAAATATAATATTGAAAGTAGGTCCTAAACAAGTTACAAGGTCACTTTTCTCAATTATCAGAGTCAAAATAATTTAAGTAATAAGCCTTTTAGATAATTAACAATATAAATAACATTATAATACAAGTTTAATTAACTATTATTAAATATAATGTTGAATACAATCAAATAATAATTAATATTAAATGAGCACTTCTTGTATATATGTATAAATTTATTTCATGTATCTCGGAAACAGCTGTAACGATTTGGATCAATTTTTGTATTTAGATAGGGTTTTGATTTTTAAGTTTAAGTTGAAGTTTAAGTTTCTAAGCTTAGTCGCCCTAGTATTAATAATTAATATAATATACATATATATATATATATTCTATCCTTTTTAATGTCCCACTGCTGGATACAGGCAACCTCTTAATGTAAGCCAAAATCCATTAAAATTATTCACTATCCATTAAAATTGAGTACTCATCCGTTTTGCTCGATAAAAATAAAACTTTTTGAAACGAAATTTGTCCAGTTTTAAAAAGAAATCGCGTAAAACTGCGTGCGAAAACTAATCACACATAAAATATTGTTTCTCGAAAGTATATTTAAAAAAGAAAGCAATTTTTTTCATCACAAGCTCTAAGAAATCGTTATCATTTGTTATCACAAGTTTATATTGGATCGAAGCTTTATCAGCCGTCAGGTGCTGAATTACAGTTATTTATTGTAGCTATCAACATTTATCCTTCTGTTCGGACGTAACTCGAGAACCTTTCTCTAAGATAGATTTAGAGGTTTAATTAAGTGACGTAATGATTGTAGGAAGAAACGTTTTAATTGCAATAGAAATTGACTTTATATAGAAATTTTATGGGAAAATTATAAGACTTTTATGTTTTTAATTCTTTGAAAATGTAACTGGTTAATATTATTAGAACATTAAAGTTTTAAATGTGAAAATGTATGAATGAGTGTGTTATTTATTTCTACTGTCAAAACCTAACGACCTCGGTAGATTTGAATGAAAGGAATGGATATATCTTATATACTACATTACAACACACGACGTAAAAGGAGCTGCGTTCTAAATACTCTAATTGACAATACCAGCGTGCAGCTAACATGATTAAGCGGGACTCGAACCCGCTATCTTCACTACGAACTGATGTAAAATACTAAACTTTAAAACTGACGTTTATAATATAAAAAAAATACAAAAAAAATCTAAGAAAGCTTTATTTCATTAGAACAGAGTCTCGTGACTCTTTTAAAACAAATTCATCTGAAATAATGTTCCCTCAAATAAGATTAAAACCTAATAAGCTCGTCAAAGCCTAAGCGGAACAGTTCATTACAACTTACTTTTAGTAATTACGAAATTGCGAAAGGAGGCTATTGAGATGTAGATAATTAAACTGACAGGACCAAAGTCAAAGTTGGAGGAGTTTTGGAGAAATGCCTTCGATAAGAAATGCTAAAATTGTAATTATATGCTATATTTTATGAATGTTGCTATATAAAAAATGAAATTTATGCGAATTACTCGCAAATTTTTTGATCGTGATGCACTGAAGACTTCAAAAATATATCAAGATATAACATTTGTAATAAATATTGTACTTAAATTCGCATTAAATTTTTAGCCAAACCTCATTTCCTATACTAAAATGGTTCTATCTACGCCACTATTATAACGAGGAAAGATTTGTATTTTTGTATGTTTGTAACGAATAAACTCAAAAACAAATGGACCGATTTAGATTAGATGAAATTTAGTAAATTTATCTTCTTACTAATCCCTGGGAAGGACAAATGATATTTTTTATTCCGGAAATCATCCCTTAAGGGAGTGAAAATGGGGATGACAGTTTGATGGAAAACCAAACTAGGGATGAACCCGAGCGAAGCGTGGGTGAACGCTGGTTTCAAAATGAAGAAAAAAATCCACCCGTATTGGAATATTTAGTGAATTTGTATTTTGTGTACAAGTTAGTGTATCTTTTCATTTACGAGCTTTGCACTGTAGTGTATTAAGCCTTATTTGGTTATTTGGAAAAAAATACTCTGAGTCTTTCCTAATGCCAGATATAGAATAGAATTGAGTAAGGTTTTCAAATACATATATTGATAGTATCACAGCAGTAGTATTATGTTTGAAGCCTTGAGTGCCGAGAACTAGATTTTAATTAATATATAATCAAGACTAAGTAAGAAATAAGCGCATATTTTTCCAATTACATTTTTTTTTAATAAAAACAAATCTGTACCGTTCTTTCCCAATCGGTGTATTCGTTGATGATCGTGTAGAAAATTTCGCTCAAATGATAAGTGTAAGAGTTCCTGACGTAGGTTCTGAAAAAAAAAATTACTTATATAACCATAAATGCGAATGTCTATTTGTTATTTCTTCGAAAACTCTGTCAATGAACAAAAAATAACATACCTTTTTTTTTAAAGATATCATTTGAAAATAAATACAATATTTCCGTATTATCTATACATATAATTAAATTCTGAGTCGAATCTGTACATTAAATATTTTTTGGAAAATCTTATCGAAATAGTCGTTATTATCGATACAGAGATCAAATCTATAGCTTTTAGAATATTTATATCTGTCTGAATAAAATGAACTGTGACTGCATCACGAGAAAACCACTGGACAGATTTTGATAAAATTTGGCATGATGATAGCTGGCCAACATATAGATTACTTTTTACTGTAGGCAAATATCTCATTACTGAGAAATCTATACTAACAGCTAAAACGTACTTAAGGACGAACCCAAGCGGAGCGAGGGTGAGTCACTAGTCTAAAATAAAATCCAACTTAGAACTTCATATAATATGACTAGTAATTATATTTCACACGACAGCGCCCGAATACTAGCTATCGCCCTCCCATTGTTTTATTATCTTCTAGGTTTATGGTGTAATAAACATCGAGTTATGCGAAAGAAACAACCCTTAACACGACATGACTCATAAACAACACAAGGAAAAGTCTTAGAAATCTCACTTAGTGGACGTATTTTTATAAAATTGAATCAAAAATATATACAAATAAAGTAAATTAAAATAAGGACAACAGAACTGTTGTTTGAATTTCAGTTTTTTTGAATTTTAGGGGATGAACGGATTTAAGGAGACCAGACTGGGTAGTAGGATTTCGGAACAAAATGTTTTATACTAACCTCAGCATACGATCCCTTTTTTCCGGCTCGATGCCATTTTGTACGTCATGCGCGGAAAATTTCCATAGCGCTTCACACGTCACCACCCCAAATAACAAGTCATATTTGTTTTGAAACAATCGTCTCCCACTATCACTTCTTTTTATGTGAAAGGTGTTTTGATTCATATTATTCAATGGACCAAAACTGGGAAAGTCTGCTGTTGAATGCATAGTTAAGAAATCTTTTGCAAAATCTGTTTTTATTACAACGCCATCTACAGAAGGTCCGAATGCAGTGAGAAAATTTGGAGGTGATATGTCAAATGATAGTAACTCCTCAATAGATGCATCTCGAAGACAGTCCACAATCACTTCGTGGTCCCTGGCGAGGTCCTCTGGTATACTGCAGTTCATATGTTTGGCCAATTTTAGTGAATAATACACAGGATCATCAACTATTGCCCAAGAACTTAGAGCTGAACCTGATAGAAGTATTGCTCTGTGGAAGAGACCTGTAAAAAGTTCTCCATGTAAATATATAACAAAAAAAAACAAATTTCTATTACAATAATAATATACACATACAAAAGGCTAAATCCTTAAAATGTCTCTTTGCAAATTTCGATATCACAGATATCGTATAATTCAACTCAAAAGTAACTGACAAATTATATTAATAATAGATAATTATGTAAATACAAAGAAATACGTTGTATATAACACAATAAACTAATATTCACAGGGATCTCTCACTTAAGAAACGTAATTATTTTAAATGAAGTATATCGACTAAATTTAATTAGATTTAACAATCGTAGGTTTCATAGATGTCTAGTTCTTCATTAAGTGGAGTATTAATTACATGTACTTGTTAATTAATTAATAATAAGAGAACAATGTACTATAATTTAAGCATGAAATATGCTTTCACAGAGTATCATGTTAGTGATGTATTGTTAGAATAACAGCATCCATTAACTTGGCGGTATTTGTTTGACATCCACTACTTTACAGGATATACCTAATACTGTATAAATGAATTTTCGTTTTAGAGTTTTAAGGGTTATTTTAACTTATCTCACAATCTATACTAATATAAGAAAGAGGTAAAGTTTGTGAGATTGTGAGTTTGTGACGTTGTAGGGGGTAATCTCTGGATCTACTGAACCGATTGAGATGAAATTTGGTAAAAAGATAGTTTAAGACTCTGGAAAGGACATAGGATACTTTTTATCCCGGAAAAATCCCTTAAGGGGGTGAAAATGGGGATGAAAGTTTGTATTGGGAAGCAAGCTAGGGACCAACCCGAGGGAAGCGAGGGTGAGTCGCTATTTTATTATAAAAACACAATGTATCTTTCTCTGTTCATGAATTTTTGTGGACATAGTTGGAAAAGGATCCAGGAAGTTAACACTAAATATTTAGATTAATTAATCTTAATAAAGAAACTAAAACAGAATGTAAGCACTAATGTAGGATTGAAGTATAAGGAAAGTTTTTTATAAATCGTCACTTAAAGGCGTTTACCAGGAACTAAAGTTTGAATAGGTATTTTTCGGGTGGTAAATTAGAAAAGGTATCGGAAAAAAACTGGGTGAGTTTGTTAGTATAGGAAAATAAGCACAACGCAGCAGAATTTTTGGAGATATATTTTGCATGAATGCAGGGACAGACAAATATGTATGTACATAATTATGTGTGTAGTAAGCGATCGTTTATGTAAAAAAAAGTTAGCTCACTTTACTATTATCCAACTAAAAGTGTGGAACATAAAATAAAAATGTTTATATATTTCAGTATTTTTTGCAGTATATAGATACATATTATAACAAGTAAGTTTAATAAATTATACTTTTTCTTCCCTTACTTCTATTATTACTGTCCCTGCTCATATAAATTTTCCTTATGGATAACCGATTTTACAAGAGTTTTAGACAAAAGCACACAAATATTTACTTAACCAGTCGACCATTGTGGTCCGAAAATACCAAGAGTGGGTTAACAGTAAAGTAAAAACAGAACGTTGAGATTTATCCAACATCAGCCCTATACTAATAAAATAATATAGGGGTCATGTCTGCACAGTGAATATAATTTAAAACTGTTTTTGAAAAAGGCTTTATTATTATTAATATATCACGAAACAACAATTCTTAAAAGAAAATATGTCTATCTGTCTGTCAATTTGTCTGTTTTTGTATGTTAGTTTTGATTTGTGTATGTTTGTGTTTCAAGCTAAAACTACTAGACACGTTTAGATGGATTTCCTTTCAACTATAGTTCACAAATCTAGGCATCATTTTATTATTTTTTACCTAATTTGCTTACAACGTAAACAAAACCACAGGCGAGTACAAAGTTAGTGAACAATAAAATATAGTACTCGCTATCCGCTTTTTATTGTTATTATTTACAGAATTTTTTCAAACGCTTTGTGTGTAGATACGTATAATACAATATAATTTGTTTTATATACAGGGTCATTTTTAATTTACTGAAAACTTTTTGGGAAGATATTGTTTACATCATAATAACAACATCTGTAAGAAAAAAAAATTCTTAAATTTTACAAAAATAAAAATATTTTTATTGCTCCTTCTAAACGGTAATATTCGAGCAATGAGCAAAAGAAAGCGCGTGACCGGTGGAGAGGGAGGGGTGGAGGGGTGTAGGAAGTGGCCCTTACTCATTTAAACTTGGCCAGATGCTAGAACTTTGCCATTTAGAAGGTGCAATTAAATATTTTTATTTTTGTATGAAAATAATAATTTAAGAAATATAATTTAATCTTGTTACAGATGTTGTTGTTATGATGTAAATAGTATATTCCTAATAGGTTTTCAGTAAATTAAAAATGACCCTGTATAAGTAACTATTTTGTAATCGTCATATTTGAGCGAAGCGAAATCAAATCGTTAATGAACTTATATAAAACAAACCTGGCATAACTGTAGGCGAGATCATTAGGAAATTAATACAAGCTGCCCCCGATCCGTGGCCCATTAGGGTAATATTGGTTGGGTCGCCTCCAAACAAGGCAATGTTTTGTTGCACCCAATGCAACGCGGCTATTTGGTCCATTAACCCGTAGTTAGCCACTCGAGCTTTTAAATGTGGCTTTGGGTTTGCATTTAAGAAGCCTAGAAAGAAAATATCTTATTAAATAATATATACACAGAATAATTATTAAAACCTTTTACTACCATTGGTGATGTTATGTAATTCTTACTGTCTTGCTTACATAAGTGGAGACCACAGGTTCGATTTTGGAAAGTGAGAAGGTTTGTAATTTCTATAGTGTTAATTCTAGTAATTTAGTTAATTTACACTAATAAATTTTAAATAAAACTATAATTTTGAATTTTTTGCGGGTTTATTAATTATTTTTATTTTCGGTGCCCATTACGGTCACGGAAGAGATTCCCATATCTATTTGTCTTCCGAAATTTGTTATTTAATATGTCATATATTGGCGTAAATCAAAGAAATGTATTAGAGATAACGTTGTAAATTATATACTAAAGTAGAGAACAGTTTATTTTATAATTATAATTTACCTATAAGAAAAACATCGTAAAAGCAACTTCCAAATAAAATATATGAACATAAAGCATTTTTAATTGCTATCCACAATATATTTATATAAGTAAATAAGAAATAGATATTACAGTTAATTAGTTGTTATATTAATAATATATTCTAAACCATTACCGACGACACGTTTGGCTCAGTTTGTAGTGACCCTACTTGATGCGCCAGCGGTATTGGGTTCGAGTCCCGCTGGAGGCATTCATTTGTGTGATGAGCACGAACGTTTGTAAATTAAAATTTTAATTTAATACAATTAATAACACAAAACAGAAATTCATTAATTAAAGTAAATTCACCGACAAAGCGAATTTACTAGTACTTGAAATTCTATTTATGCTTTGATGAATATTGGAGTTGAAATATTTTCTCCATAGTACTCACTATGTGTAGAAGCTTTACATGGAGATTGATAAAATACATATTAATATATTATGTAAGCATGAATACGTGTTAGAATATAATATAATATAAATTTATAAGAACGTGTAATCCAGTGATATGGTATACCTTAGATATATGTAAAGTTGTGACTGTTGTTGAGATCAAAATCGTGGGTTCGATTTTTAATATTGGGCAAATATTTTTCATTTCCAACATGATTACCACTTATCGAAACGTTAAGAAGGAAAACATCGTGAGGTAAACTGCATGTCAGAGAGAACGTAGTAAGTTTTCAAAAGACATGTGACGTCCGCCAACCCGCACTTTTATACACAAAATATGTCATTCTCATGTATTTTATAAATTTTTTATTCTTCAATAATAAGTAGAATGGTGTTTATACGTATAATAAAATAGTAAAAATTAGCGATATCTGTAAACAAACAGACAAACAAACAAAAATTTCAACAATATGTTTTACATGCAAATGTTTCACGCAAAAAGTACTGAACGGAATTTAACTAAATTTTGTGTAGAGATAACTTAATACTTGGGTCAACATTAAAAATAGTTTTGAATGCAGGACAATCTCTGATTTCCACGGCATAACATAATAACTTGCTAGCGAAAGGTCTTTTATACAAAAAAATCTATTATTTCGCCTATCCCTATTAACATTGTCGGATATGCAAATTTGTCATTTTCTTTTTATTTCACTAATCACTCTTAAAAAGTCTCTTCTTTTAGTAGCTGCAACAAAAAAATATTTTTTACGAGTAGTTTTTAAAATAGCCACGTTAACATTGTCGTATATGTCACGACCGCCAGTTAATAATGACGGATATCAACTCGCGACAATGTTCGCGGTTCGCGAGGGGCAGCAGCGCATGCGGTTGTGCCAGTACCAACCATGTTACACGGGCGAGCGCAAGTTGCGTAATATTACGTTACTATAGATTATTATTTTCTATATTTTGTTCTTATTAATAAGAATTATGTATACTAGGTCCGCACGCTTAATAAAATTAGCCATTAAACAATCTGAAGACAATTTAATGGATAAAAACAAAGAGTGTTGACTTAAACATTTTGACTACTGCAGATGAGGATGAAGAAAAAGGTAAATATTTATTATTATTTTATTTCTAAAATAGCTTTCTTAACATGATACTAATTATTCCAGAATAAACTAATTTCAGTATTTGCTTTTATTCTATTGTTACTGAAATATGTGGAATAGTTCGGTTAAAATTGTAGGATGTGACATTACCGACATTGTTAATTGTCTTGAATGGAGTAAAATATGTCAGTAGTACCAGATCCGACTTTGTTAGTCGTTTTAATGTATGTCAATTTGTCGGAAGTGTTACTTGCTACTTTGTTAACGGTATGTATTTTAAAATGTTATGTAGGATGTGGTAGATTTTGCTTTGTTAACTGTTTAATGTTATATTTTATATGTCGGTTGTGGTACTTTAATTTATATTTTTTATATTGATATTATAAAAAATGCCTTTTGACGCTTTTGGTTCACCTATACTGGCTTGGTTCTATTGACTGATAATAATTTTCGCACTACAACAATATATATATATATATATTTAATTTATTGCTAGTCTAACTTTTTATTATTAATATGTTTTTTAGTTAATAGAGAATCTCCATTGCCATGTGGTTTCCGAAACCAGTTAATTAAATTAAATGAAATGCTTGGTGACGATTTCAATGAATATGATACATCAGAAAATAATGAACCTACTTCATTGATCTCGACTTTTTACTGAACATCATGAGTCTACTACCAGTTCGGAAAGAAGTAGCCTCAGACCTGAGAAGAACTGACGAAAGAAACTCAGCGGGACTAATATTAGTAGCCTGGAGGCGATCGCTTCATTCCCAAGCCGTGCAATCTTCTATAAAATGATTTAATGTATAATAGCCTTTAGCACACAAACGTTCTTCAACATTTTTTTGAATTTGGCAAAAGAAGCTATTTGAATATTTTCTGGGATCCTGTTGTAACAGCATATACATTGTCCATAAAAACATGACTGTCGAGTCACAGGCATTATAAGTTTGTGTTTGCTCCTAGTATTAATGTTACGCATGTCACACATCTGGATAAATTCGTGTATATTTTTACGAAGGTATGTTCAAAACATTTTCGTACACGTACTAAGAAGCAACAGTCAATATTTTTATTTCTTTAAACTTCACTCATAATGACAGGGCCTAGACTATAAATTTTACGAATAGCTCTTTTCTGCTGGACAAAAATCGTATTAATAGCAGTTGCATTTCGCTATAGTAAGATACCATAGAACATAATACTATGAAAATAACTAAAATATACTAAGCGAGCTGTATCTACCTCAGTAATATGTCTGCAGAGCTAAGTCTACTTGCTAGCCTCTCAATGTACGAGTATATACCTGGAACGGAATTTCGGAAAGGGTTACATCCAAAACGAGGATGACAGTGTGCTTTCGACTATTGAGCGCGCTAGTGATCGCAGGTTAATCTATATTCCAGATGAATGGTACTGTCTTGTTCGCTGGGGTAAAGCTGAAAGTAATCTCTATAGAGAAAAAGAAATCACAACCTGTGATACATTTGATTTTAAGACTCTTGTCAAATAAAAATTGATCGAAAAACTATGACAATGAGAAAATCCGGTGACGGTACATGCACAGCACTATGATGGTATTGAATATAAGTATAATTTGGATGATGAACCGAAAACTATAATAGTATTGCAATCTGGTTTTGATTTTTATGAATTTTTTAAATCCAGCAGGCTTATAATGGTGATCTTTCTATCAAACGTGATAAGTATAAGGATTTAATTAACCTCTGTCAAAGTGGAATAATTCCGGAGAAATATCACAACTTTGATAAAAAAAGAAAGTGCCCAAGAGCCGAAGACATTGATGAGGATGATTAATTAGTAATGTTTCTCTTTTAAGACTGATTGATGATTTTGTTTCTATGTTACGATAATAAAACCTAAACTGTGATGATAAAGTGGTATTTTTAGAATAGTTACGAAAATTCATACTTTTGTTGAGATAATTTAATATAGGTAGAGTACCTAGATTAAGTAATTATAAAAGCTTTTTTACTGAATGTAAGATAATTATATTATAACTCTGATCATTTTTATTTGTATCCTCCTAGAGTCATTCATATTATTACAAACTTATAAGATTTTTTATGTTTAATGAATGCTATGTTGGTCAAGCCTTTTTCTGTGAAGTCTGTTAGTTTATAAGATTTTGGTTAGGCTGAGTAAGTTTTTATTTTTATCCTTACGGACTTTTTCTTACTCCTGGAGGTTTATCTTGTGTTAAATTTATAAGCTTTTCGTTGCTTATGAGTTTGTGTAAATAAAGCCATTTTATTTTTTATGCTACTAGAGTTTTGTTTTGAATGATATTCATTTTTTTAATAAATATCTAATTACAAGGATATCTTTAAATATGTTTTATTTTTAATTTTGTTTTAGATACATCAGACTTTGGTCTGGGGTTTACTGTTAACAATGATATATATGGCACTTCCAACATATAACAAATAAGTTTTACACGTAACATTGTCGTATGTGGCACTTCCAACATATAGCCAAGTAGTTTGTACATGTAACATTGTCACATATGGCAGATTCGACAAATTAAAATTGATTTGGTACGGTTAAAAAAGTCATTTCTGACTTTTAACATATTTAGAAAAACAAAAACAATACTTTATTACCATGCAATTAAGATCATAAACGTGTATTAAAATTCAAGTATTTTTTGTTAACCTAACTTGTACATTTAAAAAAATATCAACAATTCAAACTTTGACGCACTCTCCTGTAAAGTTGCCGAATTTCACATCCGACAATGTTAATAGGGATAGGCGATTTATTATACAAAAAATTTTAATAGCAGGGTTATAATTAACATATTTAACAATTAAGTGCATTAAAATCTTTCATTTTTACGGGAAAATGAAAAAAATTATACTTTTATGGAGACATACATAATATGACGTATCATGTGTATGGAGATACACCTTAGGAATGAGATACACTCACAATAACTATTATCTGCTTTAACCTATGTACATAAGTCCTTAATCTTATCTAGGCTCCAGTACTTGCCACACAGAATAATTTCCTCAGAAA